CTTTTTAAATTTTGGTCTGCCCATTCCTTTCTCAGCTGTGTCCAGTGAACTTTGGTACAATATGCTTTGTAGGGGCTTGTCCACCAAAAGAGAGCTCTTAACAAATCTTCAGATCTAATACCTGAAGGCTCTGAAGGGTTTGGGTCTAAGGATTGTTGTCTTTTTGAGGAATTGCCTATTTTAAGTACTCATTACTCAAGCTAACAGATACTGAAAATGGCTTTAAATCACCTGGTGGATTTTAGTTTCCTTGTTTGCTTTGTTTATAATTTTATTTAGAGGATAGGATTCCTCACCTCTAGTCTTGAACTTTCAGAATTCATGTACGAAGGCTTTTTTTTTCTCTGCAACTAAAAATGTTAATTGACTTTGATCTGAGTTATCAAATAAAAATAAATAAATTCTGTGTTGAAATAGCCTTTCCAAAGCATTCATGTGCTCTAGATTTAGTGGACACAGAAATTGCTTTGCCAATCTGTAGGTTAGAGCAATCTGCAAAACCTGAAAGAAAAATGTCAGTTGCCACCAGCTGAAGCAATTGTTTGTGGACAAATTCGAACCCAGAAGTGGAAAGTCAATTTTGAACATTACCACTGCTGTTCAGAGAGGTGTTTAAATAAGCAGTTCACTGCTTTGGTGGAAGGGGAGTGAGGAGAACTGTAGGTATGTGTATTGCTGAGAGAGAAAGGAGCTGCAATGAAGAGAACAAACATCAAAGCTGCTGGAAGGAACAATATAAACTTGTAACAGAGTTTCAGCAAAAGCAGCTATTGTATTTGCCTCTTTTATTTTCCTGGCTGCCTTTAAGTAAAACACCTTCTTGTGGTGGCAATGCTGTTTCTCCTCCAGCATCATTTCCAGCTCTAACACAGGTGCTGGAAAACAAGAAAGCAGCTCCTTTTTGCTAAGTGTTGAAGCATTCAGATTCAGCACTACAAGGGTGATATATTCCAAGGGCCAAGGTGAGCTGGAGGGGAGGGAGAGAGAAGGAAGGAACAAAGACTAGATGCTCACCCTCCAGGCCAAACAGAGTCAGTGGGTGCCTGACAGGGGAAGGCTTTTTGCACTGCCAATCTGTAGTACAACACTGTACCCAGGGCAGTTTCTAGCATTTTTCAGCAATAGATTCACTTCAAAAAAGTTCTGTTCACAGGAGTTCTAGGGGTTTTGCTGGAGCACAGTGTTTTGAGAACCCAACAGTAACTTGCTCAGTCACTGGTGGAATTCAAAACTGCTCAGCAAAGCTGCTCCTTACACAGTATAGTGATGGCCTGAAAGCTGTAGGAACCAGATACTTTCAGAGGAATAATTCTGTTTGGGATAACATACCCCAGCACATGACAACACAAATGTACCGAGTTTGTTGTATGCTTATATAAATTCATGGAAGCAATCTGAGATGGTCTGTGCAAACCATACACACTCACTGATCAGGTGGTGTGGTTTGAAAATGGCACAGGGCTGAGTGAGGATGCACAAAACCACAGGGTACAAGTATTTCAATTACCTCATTCTTTTGAATATTGAAATCTTTTTTTTTTTTTTTTTTTTTTTAAAGAGATTATATGGCTATAGGCCTGAGACAGAACTGGATGCTTGTACAACTTTCTGTTTTACTGAAGCATTAGATATTTTACTTCCTGCTGCCTATGGAGTGGTCAGAGAATTTTGTACTCTCTGAGCTCTAAACCAATGACACAGTTGATGCAGCTTGTGCTGCTAGAAATATGTCCAGGAAATCATTGGATCACTTTAGTGATCTGCAGTTTCTTAGGCTTTTGGAGACCCTCAGCAGTTCTCCTGCAGAGTGTCAGATGGAGAGCTTGGCTTCCTACCAACATGTTTGTGACCAAGCACAAATCAAGATCTAGGACTTCACACATCTGCAGTGACTGGGAGATTACTTTAGGCCATGCATGTTGGTAAATTTTATGAATTTACTCTAAGTTTCCCAATATCTATCAATAATGAAGGAACAGTGAGAATTTCCTTCTAGCTTCTTGACCCTTTTATTACAGGGAATATATAATAGCTTTCAATTAAAAATTCCCAAGATACCTGTGCAGAAAAGTTTCATGCATGGCTTTGAGATCTTGTAATAATTAGGTGGATAAAACAATTTGGAATACCTGAAATATCTCATTATTTAGCTAAAGATATTTAGGCTTTCTTAACCATTTAGAGCTGGTGATACTTTTCAGCTGTGGGGGAAAATAAGAAGTGCTTGGCTCTGCAGTTTTTGGAAAATAGACTTCAAATGTCAGTTTGAGAATGTTTTAAAATAGCAAACTGTTCACCATGGGCTTGCAAATGGGTGAACCAGGACCTCACTGAATAAATAAGTTGGCTGCAGGGAAAGAACTGAAAGAGAAAAAAAGAGGAGGGAAGAAAGAAGGGCATTCCCCAAGATAAATTAACATCTGTGAAATAAGACACTTCTAAATGTATGCTAATGGCCTAAATGTTTCCATATTCAATTAAGTAATAAGTCCCGAGTTGGCAATATCATCCCAAAACATTCATTTACTAAGTGAAGGCTCCACTGGGATAGCAGAGGCACCATAATGAACTGATGTGGGCAGTAAGACATGATAATGCCTACTTCAGAGGGAATTACTACTTTCATAATGCAATTTGCAACAAGAATTTAGTTGTTAGAAGGGTTTTTTTTCCCTCTTCATTATGACACTGTAATTATGACTCTAGTGGCTCCGAATCATTTCGAGAGGAGTGAGTTCCCAAAGCTTTTGTACTGAATATTCTCAGGCACTTTGAATGCAGGACTAAGTGCTGCTTCTCTGATAAATAGTAATCAAATGGAAGTTCACATAGGACAGCAGCCTACTTACAGCTGATCTCATCCTCCTTCACTGCCTTCCACCTACAATGGACTGAATGTCTTCTTTTTTTTCTTTTACTGTATATTCTTATTTATCTATTTGTTAAAAAAACTCACAAAAATAATAGCTGCTGTAAATCTGCCTAGTTCAACAATAGCTATGACAACCTCTGATACAGTATTTTTCTTTACAGATGCTGATGCACCTGTATAGAACAGTGTCACCACCTTTTATTGCAGACAGAGAACTGGAAGTATAGGCAGGCTGAATTGAGCTTTGTGGTCTCTGAGGCAGGTTTCTTTCAAAACGATGCAAGGAAGGATTGAAAGATGCTTCCAGTGGCTACCCAAAGCCTTAAGCAATTTATTAAGTCATTGTCTAGCTGACAGTCTTTTACTTTAGCCTTTGAACTTGAACGAGTGCATTTGAGCATGGAAATAATCCTTCTTGATGTTTTGTGCCCCCTCTGGTTGTGTTCAGGTATTTGTCTGTCTTTTCAGACCAGCCAGGCACTATTACATATTCAGTGCCAGCAGTCTTTGGAAGAGCTGCTCCTGAATAGACTCAGTGTTTGTCTGGTTTTCTTCCTACAGTTGTCTCAGGAAAAGCTTGTAAGGCATGGCACTTGGCAGAGATTGCAGTGGTCTCATCAGGCAGAAGCTTAGTGGGCTCAATGTGCTTTTTTACATGTCTCTCAGAGGCACCAAGAGACTGACTGTGCATTTATTTCTTAAGACAGTATTTGCAAAATGTTTTATAATTGTGGCAAATTTCTCATCTTCATAGGATAGTAGATCTGGCTTTTTCTAGAAGCTGAGCTGAATTTGCTAGGGACTGGAGAGATGGTTCAGTTGAAACAAAAGCTACGAGCTCTGGTGAGGCATTTTGTTCAAGCCTGAAATAAACAGTTTCAATGTGATGCATGGACTTCCATGCATCATTGGCACTGCCACAGTCTGAAGGTGACTGACACCTCCATGAAGAGGGAGAGGAATCAGTAATTCATCCACATCACAATTTTTACTGATGGGGTAGTTGTTTCTATAGGTGGCTGCAATATCATATGGAAGTCAAGTACCAGTAACTTTGAAGTCATATCAGAGATACCTCCTGATGGATCTGCATGTCACTTGAAAAAAAAAATCCAAACCAAAACCAACAAATTATGCATGTGTGAAGCATATACTTCATTCATAGATGTGCTGGCAAGAAACTTTAATGCCCTTAGTAGTTAAAGTAGAAGATGCTCTTTGCAGGACCCTAATAAACACAATGCTAAATGTGCTAGTAAAGCTTTGGAAAAACTAGACATTATTAGTATGTGGTTATCAGATTACTTGTATTGCTTAAAACTAAATAAATGTTAAGCCAGAAAAAAAATTAATGATAGTAGATAAAAAGGACTTCTTCATTTATAAGACTGATTTTATCCTTTGGTTGCATAGTCTTTCACAAAGAAAGACTATGCAACCTTTTGCAGTCAGGTGAGCTGAAGCAAGAAAGGAATGTGAGGCTGAATTGCCCAGAGTCAAGTCAACAGGAGAGTTGATTACTTTCCTTTAGTGAGGCACTAGGAGGCCTTGGAGCCTCCCTGTCTTGTATACTAAACACACTAGCAGGTTTTGAAGATAGGTCAGACAATACATGGGGAATAGTTAGGAATTTTTCCTTCTTTCTGTGATTTAATAGGCCTGTTTGCTCTGTTTGCCCTCTAAGGGAGCCAATAGATTTAATATCCAATTTCTCTCATCTGCTATCAGAATGCAAATGTGATGCCAGATGAATATACTTTCAAGAACAGTTAACCTAATGGGCATGTAAAGCTCAGTAATTATCAGTTGTTTATCTCTTGTATAATTGTTTTCACTAATAGGTACCTACCACACACTGAGACATCTTGGTGGAGCCAGTGACAGATTTCAGTGTAGCTTCTCTTTGCTCTTACAGTGGAATCAAACAAAAAAATGCAGTGTATTCAACCATTTTCAGTACCCTGCAAACATCAACTGGAGCACCAAGTTAATCACCAAAATTTAGCATTTAGTCCACCTGTGATCCAACACGTGTAGCAACAAATGACAGACTTTTTATACTCTATGTGCCACAGGCAAAAGTGTTGACAGAGCAGACAGTGCTTTCTGGGTGATACAGAAAGGATGCAACCATCTGTTTCTGACCCACACAAGTCCCTGAGCTTGTACACAAAAGAACCAACATGTAAAACAAGAAAAATAACTCAGAAGAGTTAATTAGTGCCAAATTTGGTAACAATGATAAAAGAGAAAAAAAGCTCAGAACACAGCAGCAGCCAAACTCAAAATGAGCCATCTCACTGCCTAACTGCACTAGGCAACAGTGCTGGTGTGAGAGCCATTTGGAACAATTAACTGCAGTGGCTTGAGCTGGAGCTGGGAATAAATAGAACAGTAGATGTTATATTTCAGAGTATATGTTTTCATTAAGACTGACACTATAGTGCCACTATTTTTTGAGGTTTTGTTTTTCCACTGTGGGCTGAAATATTTTAACAGAGCTGTGAACGGATAAGCTGCTGTTATCATTGTGTGTGTTCTTCTAAAGTAAGGCTGAATGATAAACTGCTTTCTCCTAGGGTTGTGATTCCAAGAGCAAGGATAGATGTGCATGAATTGGGGCTCAGAGATGTTCTCCAGGTGAAGGCTTCTTCCCAAAGCAGCCCTGGGCACGGGGGATGTGCAAGTTGTGGGGTAGGTTTAGGATGAGACATGAGCAGGGTTGGGCAGAGCTGGGTCCATTACACAATCACAGAATGAGTAAGGTTGAAAGGCTTCACCAGTGTGGTCATCTGGGCCAACCTCCCTGCTCCAGCTGGGTCTCCCTAGGGCACATGGCACAGGGCTGTGTCTAGATTGACAGGATTGCATCTTCAGGTTTGTATCTTCAGCTACCTCAGGTCTTAATGGCAAGTGAGTTGGTGCTGAAACAGCAATGCTACTACTTTCAAGTCCACCTTATATCCACCACTCTCCTCACCTTAAGGCTCTACCCATGAGAGGTTTAGGAAATGAGAGCTTGTAATTTGGTTTTTGTGGACGTTTCTGGGGAATGCAGTGTTCTACCTGGGGCTGAGTGACAGTCTAAGA